TGACAGGAGTGCATATAGTAAAATTCTCTCAGGGTGTCCAGATATCAGAAATACAAAGAACTACTAGAGTTTAAAAAGTAGGTTTGTACTGTGTTTTCAATTTCTCCTCCCTAGAACAAAGGAGGGAGTGATTCATCTTGAAATAGCTTTGTATGATTTATTAATTCCAATCCACACACACGCTTGCTGATTCTGATTATGGTGGATCTTGGATTGGAGATTTCCAGGCTCTATTTGGCTTGCGATAGGATTATTTTGCAGTTTATTAATTCAGTGTCAGTTTTCAGGAGCTGGTCCTAAACAAGGTTTGCATGCTTATGCTGACGTTAGGTGAACTCGCTCTCAACTGGCACTATCACACTGAATACACTGAACAGTGTGCCTGCATTTAGCTACGATTACAGCTCGCTGATTTCTCTTAATTAAAAACAAAGCATGGATTTAAAAAATGTTAAGGATAGTTTTACATATAAGTAATTATTATACAGAATGTATGTTCTGCTACTTGTCACAGTAACTGCTGGGGGCAGACATACCAAAATCCTTATTTGTACTGGATTTTTATGTTTTCTGTTCCATTTCCTCCTTTCCACTAGAATAGCTACTCATTTTATTAAGAGATGACTGCGATATTAGGTTTTGTTTGTACTCAAGATGTGCCTCGTTGCTTTCCTGTAAATAGTATTCAAATAAGTCCTTTTATAGGTAATGTGACAAAACCCTCTCTTTCTTGAGCAAGGTTTCCCTTCACAGGTGTTTATTAAGCTCTTCCACTTGCTTTTGTGTTGCACTTGTATTTACAAATAGTTAGAGCCTTCATTTTAGTATCGTTCTTGTTTTTCTAGTTTGCTTGTATCTAATATTATCAGAGCAGCATTGCAGAGATTCAACAAACCATCCAACCAACCTCATAATTTGTAAATATACATTCTGAACAGTGGATCTTTTGGTCCTTGTAAAGGAGTATTTGCAGTATTATATTATTCTAACAAAAACTTAACAGGCATTTGTTTAATGGTTTAAATAAGGAGTGAACAGTAATTTATTAGACATCCCAGCTTTTGTGTGTAAGCACATTTTAATGCTTTTATATCGGTGGTGAAGACAATAAATCCCTTTTTAAGACAGAGAATAAGCTGGGCAGTCCTGTGGAGAGAGCACTTTGCTTTCACTTCACTTGAGACATGAGGGCGGCTCAGACATGAGAGTGAGAGTAACATTACTACCCAGGAACCAGAGTATGACTTTGTTCCTGACTGTTTTCTCTTGCTGGACTATCAAGCTTTTCATTTGTCAGTAGCCTGACGCCACGTATACAACAGTGCCGCTTGCCAACATACAACATAAAGCTCCTGCTTGTTCAGGAAAAACACAAATTGCTCTGTGGTGCTCTGCTGCTCAGAAGTCTGTGTTTCCTGTCCTAAAGACAATATCTCAATCTACTCATTTTCTCAGAAGCAGCTACCTGATGCTTTAAATAGGACTGATGCTGCACCATGTGTTGGAGCATGCCTGCACCCCTGCATCCCTCAGTGGGACAGCAGCACTGAGGTCAGCAGGGGCAACATGAATCACAAATCCCTGTCTGATTTTCAAATTGTCAGGACATTGATTTACATGGGTGATTAGAGGAAAGAAATCCTCTGGCAGCTAGCATGAAGATGGGAGTATGGTGGGAGTGTAATCACACAGCAGATTGCTCTTGAGAAGAAGGTCAGAGCCCACTCTTATTGTGATTAAAACCTTTTTATTATGTGGGCTGTGATTTTGCTCAACCAGTGGAGCCATATAACAGAGGAGTCTGTACTGCAAACTTGTTCTTTTAAATTGGAGGGCAAAACTGCACATCACATGCTTGATTGTAATTATGATTAAGGTTTTTGTTGATTTGATAAGCAGACATGCCAGTTGTCTGTACATCTAAACATGATCGATAACATGTCTTCCTTGTGTTGGAACATTTGCAGAGCATGTAAAACTGATAATTTCAGAATTTCCTAATAGTTGGGTGACATATGTGAGGGATTTGTAAGGCAGATCTGGAGACAGGGCTGGGTATCATTTACATTTTTTCATAATATGGCTGATATGATGTTTTTTTTAAATATACAACTGTTTTTCTTCAAAAGCTTGTTTTAGTTGATCAAAAGAAGCAATGGTTCTCATTTGTAAAATGTTGCATAAAAACATGTAGACATACAGTAGAAGAGCCTTAAATAAATTATATGGGTTCAGTCAGAAACTATTTGATCAAAGATTCATAAACAAGATTACAAATTTGAGCAGTCAGTAGTTTTGAGACATGGTGTGGACCCATTTCGTTCAGGTAGCAAAAAGGTGTTGAGGTTCAATCAAGGTTGGATTAGCAACTGGGCAAATCAGGCAGCCACCCTGGGCACCAGACAGCCAGGGGCCTCAAAAGTCGGACTTTTCTTGCATTTCAATGGCTTTTGGTCATGGGCGTCACAGTGGTCCGGTGTATAGTGCTGTGGCCTCACAGCAAGAATGTCGCTGGTTGAAACTGTGGTTTCCCCGGCCTTCCTGTGTGGAGTTTGCATGTTCTCCAGTGTCTGCGTGGGTTCTCTCCAGGTGCTCCGGCTTCCTCCCACCGTCCAAACACATGCGGCCTAGGTTGATAGGTGACGCTAAAATTGTCCGTAGGTGTGAGTGTGCCTGGTTGTTTGTCTAGATGTGGCCCTGCGATGGATTGCCTTTCTGCCTTTTTCCCGATGTCAGCTGGGATTGGCTCAAGCCCCCCCGCGACCCTGTACGCAGGATAAGCAGTTGACGATGATGGATGGGTTTTGGTTATTCGATTAACTGCAATGAAAATCTTATGAAATTTACACCACTAAATATTTCACAAAGGCTTTGGCTCAGAGTTTCAATTGACGAAACATTTAACACAAAATTGTATACTCTTAATTTTGGCCTCAGAATCTCTCATAGAACAAAAAATGAAAACATTTATAGAGTTACACCAGTTTTTCACTGCTTAAAATGGCTTTCGCTCACTACTAGCTCCTAGTTTAGGACAGACTGTACAAAGTGCCAAGTGAGTGATTACAGTTTTTCTCAGTTGCTTTGGTACATTTCTCAGATCAGAATTGAAATTCTCAAAACTAATTGTTCAACCTCCACATCATCAGTTAAAATACTTTATTCATATCCTTTGCCTACGGACCATAAACAAAGTAAGAGTAGACAACAACAACATCACAATAGCAACACTCAGACCATTCACCCACAATACCATAAATACACAGTGAGCAGTAATATATATATATATTTAAAACAAATGTTGTTTTCCCCTGAGAATGGAATAATTAATTTTCTCGTGATCAAGAGATAACGGACTGTAGCTGAATACGGGGGCTGGCAGGTGCGTTTCTTTAGGATAATTTCAAAGCAATTACCAGTGTCACTGGTAGTGTTAGTTAGTTAGTTTGATTCCGGTTCTTGTTGACTTTCTTTTTCTTCTTTTGTGTGTTATTTATTATCCTCGTCAGCAAAATTGTTGTGAAGAGATTGAGGGGAATCACACATTTCCCAACGGCTATTTCAAAGGTTCCGAAAGCTGAAATGTGTAACGTTACATGGATTCCCCTGAATGAGAAGGAATTTCCTCTGCCTGGGAATGATGGGGAAATGAAAAGTCCATACATTGATGGATGTGGACCAAACGCTGGAACGAGTCCAGCACGTGCTTTACAGTAATGTGAGCATGTGATACAGTCTTTTCATAAGAACTTTGTTGAAGAGGATTAATGAAAAATATAAAAAAGATTGAACACACAACTTTAAGACCATAAGTCCTGTGCTCCACCAAGTGAGCTAACCAATGATACAGTTTGTCTCAGTCGCTTTGGTGCATTTCTCAGATCAGAATTGAAATTCTCAAAAGTAATTGTTCAACCTCCGCATCATCTTGTCACTTGTGCACATCATAAAAGTACTTTCTCATTGTTTTAAACAAATTGCAAATGACTTGACACACTGATGCAAATGATTATGTACAATTGTCTGCTGTTTCCTACATTATCAATTGCTTATGTCCTGCTGATCACAATGAATTATACCAGTCTCTGTTGAATGATCTTACCCCCCAAAACATCTAGTCATAAGTTCATTGCATTAGTCACTACATGCAAAATGGTTGAACACGTTATCAAAAATCAAAGTTAAAATACTTTATTCATGTCCTTTGCCTACAAGTATATAGCTAAACGAAATGTTGTTTCTTAAGGACCATAAACAAAGTAAGAATAGACCACAACAACATCACTATAGCAACACTCATACCAATACTCAATACCAGTAAACAGTAACAATACACAGTGAGCAGTAATATATATAGATAGACATTCTATACATGTCTATTAGAATTTTTTTGTAAATGTGTAAACCTGAATTGATGAAGATATCTGTTGTGATGTGGAAGAGAATATGTGATACGACAGACTGGAACGTCAGCCAAAGGGCTGTATCCCATGCAATAGTCCTGTCTCTTTCTTTTTTGTATTACAATGACATGCTCTGTCAACAAATTACAGTACGAACAGTAAAAGCATAGCTGTGATTCCTGTCCTCTCTCCTGCAATGTAAAACTTTGTACTGGTGAAAGTGATGCATGTCATACAAAAAAAGTGCAGCCTTGTGGATTTTCATTGTTATATTGACAAGATGGCTAAACATTTTGACTTGCTTGTTCATAAATGAGACACAAGGACTTGTTGTTCTGATGGCACTGACAAGTTCAATGAAATAAAGATTTGCTTTTGAGAGAAAGACTAAGGATTTTGAGCAAGTTATGGGCTTTTGCAGGTAATCCACTGTGTTGTGCTGTTTGTACTACCTGTTTCGAGAAATGCACTTACTGTTTTGCAAATGTTAAGGATGATTCGAGAAATGCACCAAAGCGAGTGAGAAAAACTCTAAGTTACAAAATGTCATCTTGTGGTGAGCTTGCCCTGACCCAACTCTTCTCTTCTGTCTTTTAGTAGCCGACTGTCGAGTCTTGGAGGGATCGCCGAGATATTCCTCCATCCCCACATACCTGCCTGTCAACTACCAGGTGCTCAATGCTGACTTGGCATTCTTCCTGAAGGAAGCCAACCAGGACTTAATGAGGAACTCTAGCCTGATGTCACGCACTGAGCCCTTCTTCATCTACCAGGCCAGAAGTTTGCCCTCAGTGAACGCTAGCTATGGGCCCCTCTCTTTGGAGCAGCCTGTCCCTTTAGAGCTCCTACAGGCCCCAGGGACATTTCCTGCCTCTTCCCTTTTTACTGTCAACTGGAAGGTGCAGACCTTTATCATGAATACCAGGATTCACTTGGCCAAGCCCAAAGTCCAGGTCCTGTTTTATATCGCAGGCAGGGACTGGGACGACTACAGTGCCATAGATAAACTGCCCTGCGTGCACATGTTTGCTTTCCATGAGACCCAGGAGGTGCGTGGCACTTGCCAACTGAAGGGGGAGCTGGGGCTGTGTGTGGCTGAGCTGGAGCCGTTGGCCAGCTGGTTCAGCCCACCCAGTGTAGTGCCGGGGCGACAGAGGAACCTTGAGGTGTCCGAGGGCACACCAGTGGAGCTTTACTACATGCTGCAGTCCACAGAAGGAGGGGAGTGCCACTCAGAGGAGGCCAGGAAGGACAGCTTCATTCGCTCAAGCCAGGAGGGACTGTTTGGTTCCTATACCTCCACACCACTGAGAAGGATCGGTGGTGTGAGGCTCTACCAGAACCCCACTCCACCACTGCTTGCTGAACACAGGCTGGATAATAACTTTATGGTCATGGTGCCAGCCACACCCATGAGACAGAGGGAAACCATCTCTGCTTTTATCACTGTGTCAGCCTACTCTCCCGTGGAGATGTTTACTCTCAGGTAAGAATGCATTTCTTTTCGTTCTTCTGTGAAGTGTCTGGCTGGAGACTTTCCCTGTCAGTCTCAGACTGTGGAATTCTGCAGTCTATTTTCTTTAGATTTTATTCTTCCTTTCAGGAAGTATCCACACTTAGATTTTTTGTTTTTTAAATATGTCCACAATGAAATTTTCCCCCCACAAACTACTACTAGACATTTTTATTTTTATTTTCTGAAGTCAAACATCTGAATGAGCATGAAATGATGATTTGATTGCACCTCAAAAATACCACCTGTTAACCAAGGTAAATCAAAGTAATCCTTGTCCCGCTGCACTGAGACCGTTAATAAAGTCAGTATTGATTGTGAAGGCGTCTGACAACATAAACGTAAACACAACTGTGTGATTGGCTATATTTAATTCCATCAGAAAGAGAGAGAGTGAGAGTGAGAGGAAAGGTGCTTTCTTAAACTGCACATCTTTAGCACAAGTCTACATCTGTGAAGACATAATTTTAGAAAAGTCATCTTTATTATCACATGTAATCAGACAGGTGTGTAGCATAATAAGCAATGAGGAACAAAGAACAAAAATCAGCTACCGCACACTGTTGACACAATGATGAATTAGTTCAATAACTACTTTTAATTTTTCAGTCAAGCGACCTTAATCATGCATTTGATGTAAAAAATGACTGCAAGTACACACTCACACAGGACAACAACCCAGCGTACTCAGCGTCAAAAAAACGGACTAATAATTATCTCTATTTTTTATTGGGTTTGTTATTGATAAATCACATGAATAAGCCTTTAATTAATTTTTTTCTCTGAAAAGTAAGAACGTCAATTGACTTTCTTTTGTGTGTGTGTGTGTGTGATTGGGGGGGGTTATGTGTCAAAACTAGTTATTTGCTGGGACCAGTTACTAGGCAACAAGACTCCAGGAAGTTGCTTTTCCTGACCGAGAAACAGTCCTCCACTAAGCTCATATTTACACTTTAGTTTAGTTTTGTGGAGATAAACTCAACAAACAAGACATAATTAGTTAGTTACTGAGATTCAAAGGTGTTTGTGGGGAAATTTGGTTACCTTTGGACCGAGTCAGTGCTCCAGTCTTTGCTAAGCTAAGCTAATCAGTTGCTGGCTGCAGCTTCACTACTGATAACCAACAATATTCTTGTGGCCGATGAGTTTTTTCATTATTTGAATCTCCCGTTTGCGCACCTGCAGTTCATGCTCATTGTTTCTACAAACATCCTCTTTAGGGCAAAGTTAACAGAGCCAAATGTATAAGAAAGGAAGTATCCAGTCTGTTAATAGCGATGAGGATACTGATGAACATGGTGATATTGATTTATAGTAGCTCTGTGCTGGGCGTCTATGCACTGACAATAATAAAGGGGCTACAATCAGCATCATAGCCTGCACTGCAGTGACACTGACGATCAAAAAGCTGCAATGTGGAAAACCACCCACTTGTAACCCCCTGCGATGTGTTTCACAGCCCGTGATGGAGGAGAAGACATACACACATGAGATCATCAGTCCTGGCAAGAAGGCAAATAAGTGTACACGCCTCTTTTAACTTTTGTTGAGACTGTGTTGTACTAACTCAAATCTGGCTGTGAGACTATATCCAACAGAATACTGGACTTATATGTACATTATAGTATTATACAGTAGTTTAGTTATTGATGTGCTTTGTAAAAAGTTTTGTTAACTTCATTGTTATTACTAAAGTTATTTTGTTGTTTTCCGTCTTTCATAGTGAAATAAAGAAAGAGCAGAGTTATCTCTCGGAAATACTTGATTCAGCGGAGCTGTTGATAGGTCTAATTACAGTGAACAGATGAGACAAAATGATTTAGATAATTAACATGCAATGCAAATGAGGATGTCATTAATTAAAATGCATGTCCATTAGTGTAATGACTGAAGCCGATCTTAATCACGCTGGTTTAGAACATTTATAAACCTTCAGAGATGATGAGAAGAGGGGTCAAGCCAATTTGTAAAGGAAAACAAGCTGAATGCTGAATTTCTGCTTAGGCAAGGTAAAAGCAATTTCAAAATGAAATATATAAAGCTGTACCGCTCTGATTTTCTTTTTCCAGTTGTTTACTAATGAGAATTATTTACCTAGCTAACAAAAAAAGATAGAGTCCAAATTGGAGCTAAGGTAAACAAGTTCACAAAAGCTATGAGGTTTTAACAAGCCATACAAACTCTCCAGATACATGTCCTTCCCGTGCTTCATTTAATTACCGTCTACTTGTCCTGCAGTGATAAGACATTGGAAACTTTTTCTTTTTCTAAACTGAGAAACTCTGAAAGATTTCTTTCATCAGTCAAATGAACAGGCCAGGCTGGCTACAGAGGCAATGCCTGTGGTGTTTTTATTTGGCAGCGTAGCTCATGGCAGGCGCAGGTTGGCCATCTGAGAGCGACAGATATGGAAAGGCCTCTGTGTGGTCCTAGGTGATAAGGCTGTCCTCATACATGCATTTGTTAGGACGCTTAATCACCAGAGCGAGAAGACTTTGATCTCTATATTCACAACATCATTATCATCTGTGTACTACACACTTATGTGTCAGCCATTGTTGGCTGTGTAGCCCTGAATGCAGAATGAGCTTATGATCCTGTGAAATCTGTCAAACAGACCTTCCGCTACTTTAGTTTGAATGTTTGTTAGTTCCCCCGTTTTTGCACATTTAATAACAAAATCCAAGGCCAAGTCCTTCATATGCCACTTGTTAGTTTTAAACCACAATCAGCGTGAGCATGGGTAAACAACACATCAGTATTTCTTTCAACATGTGGAAGAAGAAGCGCACATTTAACAGAAAATGAATGGCCACAGAGTCCTTTCCTCTTCTTCATTTCAGTTTTCACCTTTGTGTCATCCATTATGCTAAAAGGCTCATGCTGTGATAGATGTTATGCAATGAAAGCTAATTTCACATATTTTTAATAGCCAATCATCTGACCAATTTATTGCTTTGTGGATGCCCAGCATGTTATGCCTTGCTGGAGTATTTCTGTCTTGACATGCTACTTTTAATTTGATGGACTCTGATTTCATTTGACTCCATCTGTGTTAATAGGGTATGTCACTCAGAAACGTCTGGAAAGTTTTACTTATTTTACTGCAATTTACTTTGCTAATATTTGGAGGGATTTTCAAGTGGAGCGGTAAATAGTTGCTTCTTTTAGTCACTATCTTGAGTCATCCTGACATACAAGTACATTTCTATTTCCTGTCCCCTCTTGTTTTGATTGTCCACTGAGAAAGCTGACATGATTTAGAAAACTGCTTGAGTGATTATGTAAAAAGACTATTGTGTTCATAATGTATTTTTTGTTTTTGTTTTTTACATTTTTAAAGATACATTACCATCCTCTCCATGGCATGCCAAGGTGTGGGGATCCAGTTTAGAGGACACCCGTGTTCAAAAATATGCCCTTGATACTATGAGGCTCTTTGGGATAGCACTGTGCATAATTCACCAAATAATCTTATTTAAATTTTAAGCTATCACTCATTTCAGTCCGTGCTGAATGTCTGAAAACACACATTATCCTGTTATCTTAAGTTGTGATGCCATGTGAGGTTCAGTTTGTAGTAGCATGAGCTTTCAATTCAAAAACCAACACTAATGTATATGTAGAGAAACAAGAGAGAGAAGGAACTACTTCAGAAAATAACACATTGTTATTTCAAATCATTCCATGTTTTCTCTCTGTAGAGAGAACATTATCAGAATACTATGGTACTTTATTTGCATACAACCCACCATATCCACATCAACATCACTAACAACTGTTTTCATTGTAGAATGCAAGTGAGAAACAACAATGATGTGGTTAGTCTTCACAAAATATCCATGCCAGTGTGTTAAATATTTGACAATTACTTCAAAAGGGGTGCAACATTTTTAATTGATAATAATAATTAATAAAAACTGCATGGTATAAAAGCAAATGATGAGCCATAATTTTATGAATCTTATAAGCGAAATGTAGGAATACCACTGAATTCATGGCACTGAAATATTTTATTTTGAAAACCATGTTGCTCATTTTATGTAGTTTGAATAATCCCCCCACCAAATTTTTACTTTTTGTGTTTCAAATTCAGATGTCCAATATTCAAAGGTTGCTCTGGTTCAGTGAGTCAAAAAAATAGCGAGTCGCTAAAATGTGAAAATTAGAATTAATTGCTAAAATTAAAGCAAGACACTGAAATTCAAGATGAAAAATTCAAACTTGAACATCAGGACCAGGATGGGCTACTCGTTCCACTTAAGGCAGATTGGCTTATGTGACTGACTTATTTTTATTTTTTTAACACACACACATGCTTACTATTTTATTTATTTATTTTATTTTAATATATTTTTAATTTTTTTAACACAAACAGTTGATTGATGTAGTTTGTATGATGCTTTGGCAATATTGTTATTACACATTCATGCCAATAAAGCTAATTTAAATTGAATTGAATTGACTGACAAGGCATAACCCAAGGCTGGCCCGTGGCAAAGGTGACATATCAGTGTTTCCCAAAGCCCAAAATGATGTATTCAGACGTCTACCTTTGTTTAGGCCGTCCTTTACAAACTAACTTGATGATGATAGACAAGACACATCAGGAGCTAGGTGGCTTACCTAACCCTGTCTCCTACAAATTCTATTTGTATAACATAGCTAGTACATTTTGAGAGAAATGTTTTGCTGCCTAAATTTTGTTTTCTTTTAATCAAAATAATGTTTTCAAAGAACTTATGTATCTGCAGTTGCAAATTCATCATACAGAAATCTTAACTCATGAAGTCTTTCATTTGTTTTTCTGCAGTATCTGCTCTTACAATCATAGTTCACAGCAACTAAAGCGTGATTACATTTGTTAAAAATAATGATATGCCATTACACATCAACCAGTTAATTACATACATTAAATTACACGTTACACATCCAGCAGTAATTTCATTACAGTTGAATTATAATCCATAACA